GGGCATTGTGTCCTCTCTTGGCAAATGGTCAAACCGCTGGTTGGGGATGCTTCCTTTTTTTCAAGCAGCCAAGCACAAGAAGCATTTGAGCATTGATGTGACGCACATCCAGAGGGCAAAGGATCCAGGTTGCTGCAAACAGGGTTCATTGTTAACCCCAGATCCCCCATTGGTAATGCCTGGGGGAGGTTTGGAAGCCATCTTGGCGTGTCGTCACAGGACACGGCGTGTTCTGCTGAGGCAGTCTGGTCCTTTTCCATTCAAAATAGTACAATCTCTTTCCATTCTCCCCTCTCTCTCCCCGTGAATGAATGAATGGATTTATTTGTGCTGAAAGAGAATGGCTTTCCCTGCCATTATCGGAGAAGGAGCCATTTTACTCCTAACAACATAAAAAGGCAAGTATTTCTAAGGAATCGTGCAATTGAAAGAACGCCCGAGTTGCGGAAAAGACAAAAGGAACTGCAACACACACATGCATCTGGATAGATAGAGCTCTATGATTATATATACATACAGATATGGGCATTTTTCTAGTTCTATTTTGAAATGTAGTTGTGTTGTGCATTATACAATGCTATTCCTAGTGCAGGCATGGGCAAACTTGGGGGCTGCATTCTAGCACGAGGACTGGCTACCTGATGATGGAAGGGAAGGAGGAAGGAAAGAGAGAAGGAAGGAAGGACAAAAGGGAAGGAGGGAAGGAGAAAGAGGGAGGTAAGGAGGAAGGAAAGAGAAGGAAGGAAGGAAGAGGGAGGTAAGGAGGAAGGAAAGAGAAGGAAGGAAGGAGAAAGAGGGAGGTAAGGAGGAAGGGAAGGAAGGAAGGAGAAAGAGGAAGGGGAGGAGGAAGGGGAGGAAGAGGGTAAGGAGGGAGGAAGGAAGGAGAAAGAGGGAGGTAAGGAGGAAGGGAAGGAAGGAGAAATAGGGTGAGGAAGGAAGGAGAAAGGGAGGTGAGGAAGGGAATGAAGGAAGGAGAAAGAGGGAGGTAAGGAGGAAGGAAAGAGAAGGAAGGATGGGAGGGAGGGAAGGATGGAAAGAGAAAGAGGGAGATAAGGAGGAAGGGAAGGAAGGAGAAAGAGGAAGGGAAGGAGGGAGGAAGAGGGTAAGGAGGAAGGAAGGAGAAAGAGAACGATGGCAGGAGAAAGAGGGAGGAAAGAGGGAAGCAAGGAAAGAGAAGGGGGGGAAAGACAAAAAGGAAGGAGGGAATGAAGGACAAAGAGTAGGAAGGAAGGAGAGAATGAGAAAGAGGGAGGTGACGGAGGGAGGGAAGGAGGAAGGAAAGAGAAGAGAAGGAAGAAAAGACAAAAGGGAAGGAAGGAAAGATGAAAGGGTGGAAGGAAAGTATGGAAGGAAGGAAGAGGGAGGAACGACAATGAGAAGGAAGTAAAGGAGGAAAAGTGGATGGAAGGAAAAAGGGAAGGAAGGACGAAAGGGTGGAGGGGAAGGAAGGATGGAGGGAGAAAGAGGGAGGGAAGGAAAGAGGGAAGGAAGGATAGGATGTTGAGAAAGACTAGGGCCTGATAAAAGACCCCAGGGGACTGCATCTGGCCCCTGGGTCTGGGTTTACCCACACCTGTTCTAGCGTGTTGAACCACATCATTAAACACATGACAATCCCCCTTTTGAATCACCTTGGAAGTACACTGAAAAACAAGCTCGTAAATGAGTATATACGGCATATATATACCTGCCGTTGAGACCTGCCTCCCTTCTCCAGCTCTGAGGCGTGCCTCACAGTAGATCAGTAGGTACCGCTCTGGTGGGAAGGTAACGGTGCTCCATGTAATCATGCTGGCCACATGAGATTGGAGGTGTCTATGGACAATGCTGGCTCTTTGGCTTAGAAATTGAGATGAGCACCAACCCCCAGACATGACTGGACTTAATGTCCGGAGAAAACCTTTACCTATCTATCTATCAATCCATTACCTTCCTTTCTGCCTACATATCCATTCATCTATCTATATACCCACCCACCATCTTCCTTCCTTCCTTCTCATCCATTTATCCATGTTTCCATCCATTCATCCCTCCATCCATCCTTCCTATCCATCCATTTATCTATGTATTCACCTCATTTCTCTCTCTCTAGCTATCTAACCATCAATCAATCAATCCATTATCTTCCTTTCTGCCTACGTATTCATTCATCTATCTATGTATCCATCCACCATCTTCCTTCCTATCCATTTATCCATGTCTCCATTCATGTCTCTATTTGTCTATCCTTTGTTCCATCCTTCCTATCCATTTATCTATGTATTCACTCCTCCTTCTCTCTCTCCATCTATCTGTCCATCGATCACAATATGTGACCTTCCTTTTTACCTACATATTCATTCATCTATCTATGTATCCACCAGCATCTTCCTTCCTTCCTACCCATCCATGTCTCCACCCACCATCTTCTTTCCACCCTTCCTTCCTATCCATCCATTTGTCTATGTGTTCACCTCCCATCTCTTTCTCTCCATCTATCCATCAATCCATTACCTACCTTTCTACTATGCTTGGTTGATCCAGCTCATTAATTTCTAATATCGTTATGAAATCGTAAATAAAATACCTTTAGAAGCGATATCGACGCGTTTTGGCAACCCGGAAGTGTTTTTGCCATATCGAAGCCACGTTCGCCATCTTCCTTACGACTTTCGGCAGTGAATCGTAAATGCTGGGGGTGTGGCCTTCAGGAACAGCTGTTCTTACCCACGCCCACCTCCTTCCTCTTTGCATCGGCAGCTTTGCGAGGTGGGCGTGGCGACAAGCGGCGATGTATGTCAAAAATTGGCATTGAATGTTTGCCATATATGTGTACACTGTAATCCGCCCTGAGTCCCCTGCGGGGTGAGAAGGGCGGAATATAAAAGCTGTAAATAAATAAATAAATAGTCGTATCCCAGCTGAGGGGTGGTGCTCAGCTCCATTTCTAAGTTGAAGAGCTGGCGTTGTCCGTAGACACCTCCAAGTTCATATAGCCGGCAGGAGTGCATGGAGCGCAGTTACCTTCCCACCGGGGCGCTATCTATTGATCTACTCACATTGACATGTTTTCAAACTGCTGGTTGGCAGAACAGCGGGAGCTCACCCCGAATTCGAACCACCAACCTTTTGGTCAGCAAGTTCAACACCTCAGCGGTTTAAGCCGCTCCACCACCGGGGACACCCTCCTTCTTACTTACCCATCCAGGCATGTAGCCGGGGGGGGGGGGGG